AATGGTTTTCAAATATTTTTAGCTATGGAAGCCAGTACATAATACAGACGTCAGCAGAAGCTGCCCTGGCAAAAATAAAGAGGGCTGGGTACAGTAGAGCCCTTTCAAAGAAGCTTCCTAACTCCTAAAGACTCATCTGATGAGTTGAGTGAAAACATTAACAACTGTACAACACAATTAAATTTGTCAACATTTGGAAGAGCTGTGTAACTCAGTGAACCAACGATTTCTAAATGACCAAAGCATAATGTCATAAAATCATGCATGGTTAACATCCATTCAAAATGCAAGAGCAGCCCAGCCGGGCGTGGCTCAGCGGTTGAGTGTGGACCTAGGATCCAGGAGATCAGGGTTCGATTCCTAGTCAGGGCACATGCCCCTGTTGAGGGCTCGATCCCCAGTCAGGGGCATGCAGAAGGCAGCCGATCAATGACTCTCTCATCATTGATGTTTCTATCTCTCTCCCTCTCCCTTCCTCTCTCTGAAATCAATAAAGATATATTTAAAAAACAAACAAAATGCAGGAGCAAATGAAGTTTAATGTACGAATATAAAAGTCCAATGATATAGTTTCAGATTCCATATTGCAACAATCTTTAAAAAGGTTTGAGTATAGTGTCAAAGAGTATATACAATTACTTGAAAAGGCTACTTGAAAAATCCCCCTTTAATTATTAAAGTCATCTAAACTGTAAAAAACTAAACAAACACTCTCCTCCCTTTTCCAATATCTGTATAAAGCTGGACTTTGTTCATACTTCAACCAAAACAACATAACCATTAATGCAAAAGAAGAGCTGCAAATCCAATAAGCCAGATATTAATGAGATTTACAAAAATGTAAGATAACACCACCTTTGTCACTAAATTTTTAGCAATTTTTCATAAAATTGTAATGTTAACAAATTAATTGATTATTTTTGAAATCAATAAATCCTTTACAAATTTGTTTTAATTTCTAGTACAGTAATACCAGTAGATAGAACCCACATAAATAAAAGCTGTTTGGAGTCTTCTACAAGTTTTAAAAGCATAAAGGAATCCAGAGACCTCAAACTTTGAGACCTGCTCACCTAGACTTGCTATAACAGACCTACAGTTCCACATCTTCCAACCTACCCTACATTGCCCACGGCTTAAACTCACTTTTAGTATCAGACTTAGCTAATTAGAGCTATATTTTAAAAAGCAATTTTTATTTCTCTACTGAAAATTTGTAATTGTTCCCCACTTCACTGAATTAAGCACAAACTCTTCAACATGGCAATTATCAGTATTTATCAAAGTCTTTAGTGTCAGTACAATGGGACGAAGCCTCTTAGCAGTTCATATTTATGTACATCAGTGAAATGGAAAAATAATGGAATCACAAAGCATCACATTTAACTACATCAATTCAACTACAAGCTCCTGTGCCCTCTTTCACAAAAATAGATACATACTGCTTTGCTTTACTTACCCAATGGTCTATTCCCTTTCAAACAAGACTCTGACCGTTCCTATACCGGAGAATAGGAGGCTACCACAGAAATGAAAGGAGAAACTGAAGAAAATGAGTCTAGGACTCTGCAGCTTCCCAATACCAGATGTCAACAATTTAAAGGTTTTTCAAGGACAATTTTAACAAAACGCAACTTATTAGCTGACTTTACAAGCATACATCAGGCAACATAAAGGTATGATTTCACTAAAATACGTATTGGGAATAGTCTCTGGAGGAGTGGCCTCAATCAGAGGCAATTTTGCCTTGCAGGGGACATTTGACAATGTCTGGAGGCATTCTGGATGGTTACAACTTGGGAAGGGGGTATTACGGGTATCTAATGGGTAGAGGCCAGGAATGTTGCTAAACATCCTACAATAGAGAAGACAGCTCCCCCACAATAAAGAATAACCTGGCTCAAAATGTCAACAGTGTCAAGGCCAAGAAACCTTGCTCTAGAGACATACTATATCAAACACAGTGGATCCTTGAGTAACTTCATTTAGTTCAACATCATTTTGTTACAATGTTTATGAGGTGTCACAAGAATTTAACACATTTATATCAATTAGCCTATGGTCAAATTGGTTGTGTTATACGTAGTTTCACTACAGTTCCAAGAACCTATCAACGATACTAAGTGAGGACTTATTGTACTTAGGTTCAATTCTGAACACAAAGAATGCACCAAATTTTCAAGAAACATTTACATACCTTGCCTCTAATACCTATTGTTTAATCTCTGAATTTCTAAGTCCTCTAACCTTTCAACAAATTCCATAATTACAGATGTGGTCTTTATTAGAAATTAAACATCAGTATTACTATCCCTTACTTCCTAGGTTAACTACCACCATAAAAATAATATCGCAATAAAATAATATAACCAATTTTTTTTTTTAAGCTGTGAATGTGGTTTACTGAATGTTCTACTTGCTCTTAGCTATCTAGGAGTTGGTAGGCATGAATAAAGTCAGGTACCTAAGCACCATGTAACATATAAATGGTATGGGTTCTCTTATCCTGGCCCCCTATTTCAGGAGCACATAAATACACAGCTTCTTTACAGGCTATTTTTAGGTTTAACTCTTCCATATTTGTTTACTCATTCAAGCAAACACACTGAGAGCCTACTATGTGCCAAACAACCTGAATATAAAGATAAGACAGAAATATTTACCACATACTAATAAAAAGACAAACAGCTAAAACAAAATTACTTGTGCTATAAACAGAAATATCAAACCATGTTAATGGAAGTTTGCAGGGGAGAGGATGCCAGGAAAGGCTTTCCAGACGAGACTGATGCTTGGACTGAGAAAATGTCACAGAGAACATACCCTGTTCATATCTTAGTATTTAGACTACAGTTCTCTTCGGCTCTTACACACTACTCTCTTTCAGTTTTGCTCTGTCATCTAAACAAGAGCAAAGTGAAGATATGACTGATGTAAATGGACCAAAGTGACAACTAACTTACTTTCATCAAATCTTTTAAAATTGATTTTTAGAGAGAGGAAGGGAGAGAGGGAGAGACATCAATTGGTTGCCTGCCCCATGAGCCCTGACCAGGAATCAAATCTGCCACCTTCTGGTGTACAGGACAACGCTCCAACCAAGCCACACAGGTGAGGGCTCATCAAATATTAATGGAGTCAAAAAGTAGTTCTACCAATGTATTTCCTAGTCCCTCCATCCTGTCCAGCTTCTGATTTTGTTTTTTAAAATTCTAACTTCCTCCACCAAGTAAACATACCATCTGTCACCCAGTTAACAAGGGGTAATTTATAAGGCTGCCACAGGGACTGCTCATTGGTTTTTCTGGTCTTTTCTTTCTTCCACTTAGTTTCTTTCTCAAAATGGAGTTTAATTTTCTCACCTTCTTCTACTACAAAACTCTGAATTCTGTATGAGAGAAGCCATGAGTTCCAAGTTGAAAGAACTACAAATTATTGCTGCCTACCTTTCTAAGTCTCCTCTGTATTTTCTGTTCTCTATGCCAATACTGCTGTGGGTCGCTAACTGGACTCCTTCTTCTGGGTCCCCAGGAGAATAAAATTTTTTTACTTGGAACAGGAAACTAGCCAATAACTTACCGTCTCACCTATTCGTTTTACAGTACATAACATTACTGACATCCTTTAACAAACTTTTAAGTTTAGTTCTCATGGTCTAGGCTGGGGTACTACTAAAATGAAGCGTCAGCCTCATGATAATGTAGTAGACAAATTTCTAGACTGAGTCAGACCCGGCACTGGCTAATCCCGTCCCTTCCCTGGGCCTGGGCCTCTCCATCTAGAAACCCTGCCGGTGACCTAGCGTAGACAGGCTTAATTACTAAGGTCCTTATGGCTATACAGTAATCTAAAAACCCCATCTTTCTCATTTAGCTTTACATGAAACACGTGGGGGACCAGAAAATAATCTTCCATACTCCACTAACCCGATCTTAATTCTCAGATGTTTCAAAAAGCTAACAAACTCTAGATCCACCCACCCTATCCCTGAAGCTGCCAATTTCCCCGGTAGAAGAGGCCAAGGCAAATAAAGCCCACCCCACTCGAGTGTCAAGGAAGAGCTGGGAGACCATATTCAGGGTTTTAAGGGACTGCACCCGCAAAGGGCCGGCCCACCTGGTCGTCGCCGGGCACATGATTAAGTCCAACTGGAGAGATGGACGCTCCCTCACCGTAGGTTGCGATGGGAGCCCCGGGGCCCCGACCGCACCGAGATAGCCTTATTCTCCCAGTTCCCGAAGAGCCTGCCGCGCCTCCCAGCCGCGGGCTCGCCCCCTCCCTCAGGGCAGAAGTGCGCGCGGGGCGCGAGACTCGGGCGCCGAGAGGGCCCGGGAAGCCCCGCACACCGCCCGCCCAGGAGAGAGGAGGAGCCTGCAGTCCCGAGCCGCCACCATCCCGGCTCCCGACTTACCGCGGCGCGGTGGGGGAGGGGAAGTGCCAGGAGTAAAGGCCTAGGCCCGTTCGCCACCCGCCGCTCCGAGAGCAGCGCGCGGCCGCCACGAAACCGTCGCCACCGCCACCAGCACCGACACCGACCGCCGCCTCGGGCGCAGCGCGCAGAGGGCCAGACTGCGTCACACGCCGCCCGCCGTCAGAGGCTCGCTCCGGCCGCTCCGCCCTCGCTGCCTGCGCATTGGCAGCCGACGACGCCACTCTAGGCCCACCCCATTATTCATTGGGCAACGAGCCTTTTGAAACTGAACGTGAGGGGCGGTCTTTGGGGAGGAGGCGAGGGGAGGAAGAGGAGGGACATAAGGAAATTTGGGGGAGGAAAGGGGAGGGGTGGTGGAAGGGACTTGGAGTCCCGCCTCTCGCCGCCGCCGCGGTTGGCTGGGAGGGAGTCGTGAGGTCACACAGGCCCCTAGAAGTGGGCTGGTGAGTGGCTACCTTGGACGCGGCGTGAGAGAAGAATGGTGACGCAACACAGAGACTCCACCCCCTCGCTTGGAGCGGAGAGACCCTGGCTGCCGAAGCTCGGGCCAATCAGAAGGAAGAAGGCTCCAGGATGGCTTGGTAACTATTCTGCCCACACCTTGCCCCCAGTATGTGGGCGGTGTAGGGAAGACTTCCCTGTGGTCCTCCCCTCATTTCCTGGCCAGACCGCGTGCGGAGCTGGAGGACCCTCCTGGGAGGTCCGACTGTCCAAGTAGCTTTCCTGCAGCTGCTGGGAGGTTTCAAAACTTGGCCTCCTTGTCGCCTGACCCGCGCCAGCTCCCGCACAACCTTTCCCTCTCTGAATCCCTAGCATAGAAATGAGTATCAGAGATGTCCTAGGGAGAGGCTCAAGCATAGGACTGCTTTCCCACGTGTCCTTTAGGAACCCCCAGTTATTCCTAAAGCTCTAGATCAAATATTCTTGCATTCCGCGGGATACACTTGCTGATCTCTGTCAGCAAGTTGGGTTAATGCTCCGGCAGGCTCTGTCACGTTGTATCCTATTACTTTCCTGCCTTCTGTGCCTAGGCTCTTGGAGGTCAGAGCTGCATTTTCTTCATCTTGGTGTTAAGAAAACAAAGTTCAACCGATTAAATCTGGAGATCTAATTTACTTTATAAAGCGGTTTATGAATTGGGGAGCATCCCCATCTAGCAACCAGAAGGGCGCTCTGAGGGATTGTACAAAATGGAAGGATTTTATAGGAAGAAGGGTGGGTTCAGGGAACTGTTAGCAAAAGACATCCTTTCTTTGGGGGAGGAGAAGGGAAAGATTTTTTATCATGTAATTACTTCTTTCTATGGAGGCTAAAGAGGGCCTATGTGACAGATTACCTTACTTGTGCTTGACCAGAAAGTTTCATACTGGTTGGTTAAGATTATGTTTCTGGGCCCAGCTGGGTGTGGCTCAGCGGTTGAGCATCTACCTAGGATCCAGGAGATCTGGGTTTGGTTCTAGTTAGAGCACATGCCCGGGTTTTGGGCTCGATCCCCACTCAGAGGCGCTCAGGAGGCAGCCAATCAATGACTCTCATCATTGATGTTTCTCTTTCTCTCCCTCTCCCTTCCTTTCTCTGAAATCAATAAAGATATATATATATAAAAGATGATGTTTCTGGGAGAGGTTGGAAGTGCAATTAGGTCAGGTAATCTAGGTTTGGTATCATGAACTTTGGGCATGCGTGATGCCATATTGGGCCTATGGCTTTTTTTTTCTTTAACATTGGTGCTCCTTTCCCCCAGGCCTAGCCTGGAGCAGAAGCCTGACATTACAGAGGGAGAGTTGAACATGTTCTAGAAACTAGACCTAGTGACTGAGAGCCCCACACAGAATAGCAGGGACTGTGCTCAGAAAGCCTATTAGGATTACTGCTCCACCACCACCTCTCCCTGGAGCATCAATGCAAAATTGAGATAGGCTGTGCCCAAAAGTAGGTGAATTTAAATCCCTGTGGGTTTTCAGTGGTAGCAAGGGATTAGAGATAATTGATTCATTTGTCAAAAAATGGAGTGTCATAAAGATGAAATAAGATAATGGATAGGAACCCTAGCCTGTTAGTTCAGTTGGTTAGAGCATCATCCCGATACTCCTAGACTGCCTCTTGCATCTCCTGTCAGGGCACATGCAAGAAGCAACCAATGAATGCATCAATAGGCGGAACAACATATTGATGTTTCTCTTTTCCCTCTCTCTCTCTCTCTCTCTCTCTCTCTCTCTCTCTCTCTCTGTCTCTCTCTTCCCTCCTCCCTCTCTCCCTCTTCCTCTCTCTCTAAAAAATCAATCAATAAATAAAAATTTTAAAAGACAATGGATAGGAGAAACCTGGTACATTGTAGGTACTCAGTAGATGCTTGAAGGAAGAAAATAAGTAAATATGGAGAGGGTAAAATAGTAAAACTAGTTTAAACAGCTGATTCTAGCCTCCTTTCCCCAACTCCTCCATCCAAACATCCCTCCTTGCCCTCCACCCTCCCTTACCTATGCTCTACATCAGAAAGTCATTAATTCTCCCTGGATAGTTACAGTGGCTTCCTCATTGCCCTCCTGAACCATTGATTTCTCACCGTCCAATCTTCAAACCCAACTAAATCTTTCCTCTACTTGTTGTTATTATTTTTAATCCTCACCCGAGGATATTTTTTCATTGCTTTTCGGAGAGAGAGGAAGGGAGAAAGAGAGAAACATTAATGTGAGAGAGACACATCGACTTGCTGTCTCACGCACATGCCCTGACTGGGGCTGGGAATTGAGCCAGCAACTCAGGCATGTGCTTTTGGCAAGAATCGAACCAGGGACCCTTAAGTCTGAGGGATGATGCTCTAACCACTGAGCCGAACCAGCCAGGGCCATGGTGATTTTTAAGTAGAACTCTTGTTAGGTACTCTGTAGGCATGTGGCCCACAAGCTTATCATTCTCAGGGACTTCTGCTCAGGGAAGGACTCCTTTGTGAGCCAGGGCTTCCTGAGCCCACATACTCTTATTCTGCCTAACTCTCATAGCACCCCTTCAGTTACCATCCTCTTCCTTCTTTCACTTCTAAAGACATAGAGTTTGGTGCATATTCACAAAAACTTGCTGAGCCAAGCCCTGTCTTGGCAGCAGGAGCCCAGAGATGTCTGCAGCTCAACACTGCCCTGGTCAAGAGAGACAAAGCCAAGAAAAGTCTAGCTCTGCCATGGGAGCCCCAGTCTCTCACACACATGCCCTGAGAACTCACCCTATGCAGCTATGACTGGTGCTTAGGGAGGAGCCAGACCACAGAATCATGGGAGGGCAAGAAACTTCCTTCCAGAGGGATGGTTCTAGATTTCTTATGCATTGGAAAGAGCTGCAGAGTTGGAGTCAAACAGCTAAGTTCATGTGCCAGATCTGCTACTTTTTAGACCTTGCACAAATTAATTAGTTGTTCTGTGCCTCAGTTTTCTTGTCTATAAAAGAGGCACAGTAATTCCTATTTTGTAAGGTGGTTGTGAAGGTCAAGTAAGACAATGGAATTTGCAAAGGACTGAACTGGGCACATGTTTGGCACTTGGAAGCACTAAGTAAATACTGTTTTCCTTCCTCTTTTCCTATAACTTGATAGTGAAAGGTGATGCTTGTAAATAGCATATAATTATGTTTTTAGCTAGAGCACTTAGTTGTTTCCATTTAATGATTTTACTGGTCTATTCAGGATTTTATCTAATATTTTATACTTTCTATTTGTCCTTCCAGTTCTGTTTCTGTCTCTCCTTTATTCCTTTTTTTTTTTTTTTTGTAGTAATAACTGCCACTTACTGAGGCCCAGTTCTTTGCCAGATTTTTTAAAAAATTGAGATATAATTCACATGGGTAATTATCTAATTCACATATAATTCAAATTCACCCATTTAAAATGTACAATCCAGAGGTTTTTGGTATATTCATAAGGTTGTGCAGCCATCACCACTATCTAATTCCAGAACATTTTCGTAACCCCAAATAGAAACCCCAGACACATGCTCTGGCTGGGTAGCTCAGCTGGTTAGAGCATTGTCCCAATATGCCAGAGTTTTGGGTTCTGTCCCTGGTCAGGGAACATACAAGAATCAACCATTGAATGCATAAATAAGTGGAACAACAAATCAATGTTTCTCTCTCTCTCTCTCTCTGTCTCTCTCTCAAAATCAGATCAATCAATAAATAAAAGAAAAGAAACCCCAGACCCATTAGCAGTCATTCTCCATCTCTCCCTCCCCTAGCCCCTGGCAACTACTAATCTACTTCATTTCAATGGATTTGCCTGTTCTGGACCCTTCATATAAGTGGAGTTATATAATATGCAGCCTTTGTGTCTGACTTCTTTTACTTAGCAAAATGTTTTCAAGGTTCATCCGTGTTATAGCATGGATCAGTACCTCATTTCTTTTTATGCTCAAATAATATTCCATTTTATGGATATATCATATTTTGTTTATACATTCATGAGTTGAATGACATTTGAGTTGTTTCCACCTTGTAGCTACTAAGAATGATACTGCTATGAACATTCATGTACAGATTATTTATGGACATAGGTTTTCAGTTCTCATGTGTTTATACTTTTATGCCTGGGAGTAGATTGTGGGTTCATCTGGTAACTATGTTTAACATTTTGAGAAACTGTCAAACTGTTTTACAAAGTGACTGTACCATTTTACATTCCCACCAGCATTATATGAGGGTTCCAATTTCTCCACGTCACTGCCAACACTTGTTACTTTCCTTCTGTAAAAAACTTATAACCATCTTAAGGGGTGTGAAGTGTCATCTCATTGTCATTTTTATATACATTTCCCTAATGACTAATGATGATGACCATCTTTTCATGTGCTTGTTGGCCATTTAAATCTCCTTTCCTGTATTTCTCTGGATTATTTTGTTTTCCATCCTGTGCCAATTTGGAAATTAAATTCTCTTTATTATTTTATTGGTCTCCTAGAAATTACCACATGCATTTCTAAATTTCCAAAGTATCATGCTAATCACTACCTTTACAGGAAGAGTAGAGTTTGCTGAAATGGAGGAAAAGAAGCATTCCAAGCCAGATGAACAGGGAGAATAAAGATGTGGGACCAGGAAAGAGCTCAAGACAGGGAACAAGGGCCAGAAGCAGGAATCTGTGGGTTGGAGCTAAACAAAGAGGATGATGCAAAGCCTGAAGGTAGAAAACCTAAATCCAGTTTTTGGAACTAAAGTGAAGTGGTTCTTTCAGTAAAGTTTTATTAATTGTTCACTTCCCTTGGGACCTTAAAGGACAGGGTGGGAAGAATTCAAAGTCAAGAAAAGTAGTTTTTAGAATAAGACACCTTCCCTCCAGACTTTGAGCCCTCAGGAGTGGGACTGAGATACCTCCTGGTTCCCCACCATTGCCCAGCCCAGGGCTTCCCACAGAGAGGGCCTAGACTGAGTGAATGTATAAGAGTGAATGCATGAAATAAGCTCTTGCAAGTTAATAAAAATTGGAACCTCTGTTTCCCCATCTAAAATGGTGATTTATTTATTTATTTATTTATTTATTTATTTATTTATTACTGCAATACCTAGGTCAATGCGTGGAATGGACGGATTGTTCCCTGCTCCAAAAATCCATTTAATATACTGTCCTAAGATAGAGGACATATTAGATAGTGGACTGATAAGAACAGATACTACACTCGATCTTGGCCAAAAGGCCAAGAAGAGATGCAAAGTAATTTTATAGCTACCTTGTGGGATTAACAGTATATGGTGATTACAGTCACGTGCCAGACTCACATCCTGATTCTGACATTTACTTGCTGCATGAGTAGGTAACTTACCTTCTGTTTTCCATTGATAAAATGGGTATATTAATAGTATCTATCTCATAGAGTTTTTATGAGGATTAAATAGGATAACATAAAAAGTAGAGAAGTGCCTGGGACACAGGGCGCTCAGAATGTGCTGATTATTACTGTGGAGATTTAAATGGGGGGAAATATGGCCCTGGCTAGGTAGCTCAGTTGGTTAGAGTATTGTCTCCATACATCAAGGTTGCAGGTTCCATCCCAGTCAGGGCACATACAAGAAGCAACCCATGAACACATAAATAAGCGGAACAACAAAAATCGATGTTCCTCTCTATCTAGAATCAATTTAAAAAATAAATGGGGGGGAAAGTGATGGTGGTGTCTAGCTCAGAGGCCCTCCAATGCCTGCAGGGGCTCTGACAAACAGGCATTGTGACTGCAGGAAGGATTAGTGGTCCCTTCATCTTCTTTCCCTATGGGGGTAGGATGATCTTCGCAAAGGGAGCCAGGAGTGTCCCTCCGGTTCCTTTATGGGTCATTCCTGATGGGGAGGGAACCCTGGGGGCTGGTTTCTGGTGATCAACCCTTTCATAGTGGGGAGAGACCAGGGTTGGGGGCTGGAGATCCTCTCTCTGCTCTGTCCAATAGGACAGGGCGCCCTCTCCTGATCAAAGGCAGGAATAGTTCTGGCCCAGAGTTTCTGGGGTGGGCCTCATTGGATCTCACTACCTATCTGGTGCTTGCTTCTCTCTTTGCTGAAACTCCCCAAATCGGTTCTGGGTAACAAGGTTTGGGGGAGGGGCTCTAAGGCTGGGGCAAAACTGGTTTAATGTTTGAGTGTTGAGGCTGGATAATTCGGCTAGAAGGGGGGAAGGAGAGACTGGGGCCAGGAAATAAGAGAATCTGGGGCCTTGCTGAATTAATTTTATGTTCTTTCAACAGGTGATGGAACACAGCAGAGAGGTAAGGTGATAAGGTGGCTTATCCAGAGGGTCAGATCCGGTGTAGAGGGCTCTTCCGGCTGTGTCCACGCATCCAGAATTAGTGGGACAGATGAGGGCTGGAGAGGCATGCCATGAGGGGACGCCAGACGAAGGAGGGGAGCGCAGGGCCAGGGTCTGCAGAAGCGGGGAGGAGCCAGCTGAGGATCTCGGCGCAGTTTCCTTCCCATGTTCCGCCCCAAGCGCGCCGGCCCCGCCCCCCACCGTTCCCACTCT